GCCACTTCTGCGTGCGCGGATTCCGGCAGCCACGTTTTGTAAGCTGACAACAGAACTAAAATTATAAATACATAATATCCACAGACTTTTATACTAGACCATTAACATCTATGGACGCACTGCCGAAAAGCTGATGCGAGTGCGAGATGCAAGTGTTAGTGAAGGGTGCGGCCATATTGAATTAACAATAAGTCACTATCGGGTGTTCAGTTGCTCATGATGTGCGTTTATCTGCATTCGTTATTACAGTACATAACGAAGCAGGCGAATGTTTTTGTGTTAAATATTGGTACATGTTATCAATAAGTTTGTAAGTCATGCCTTCAACGTGTAGCTACTTGAATGCCGAATCGAACCACTACTCCTGTAGTATTAAACCCTTTCTTTTGGAAATTCTGTATATGCCAGACTATTGTATAGAAATCTTGTATAAAACCACTTGTATAGAATCTGTAGTATAGCATATCTTGACTAAAATCAACACGGCGGCAAGCATCACGGCCGAGATGCCTGTCAGCGGTCTAGTATTGTATAGAAGTCTACTCGATGATAATATCTAAATATTATTTTATAAATTAAAATCTCACATTTTTCATCCAAACCCCAGATTTCTAGCAGTTTGTATTTGGACACGACTCCCTGCGACTGCAACGTTTATACTATTGCTTGAGTGCGTGGTATTAACCTGAAAAAATCGTATTGAATTGATGTAATTTATTCGATGAATCAACGTGAAATCGAAAGGAGATAGAATAACGATTTACCTGGCCCATGACTTGGTAATGCTCCCAGGTGTCGTCAGCAACGACGGAACAAATCGTTTCAGCTTAGGGTATGTACACCTGACCCTCCAAGAAGAAATACGCGAACCACTTTACACCGTCCACAGATGCTCTATATCCATCGATGGTAGTCCCCATCCGGCCTTTCCAAATGTACCAGACACGCGGCAAATGATCTTCCCGGTTCCTTGATTATATCTATAAATGAGAATAATATTCGATCATAATGAAGATTAATATCTTTATAAATAAACTAGCTGGTTACCCGGGCTTCGCCCCGGAGGACATATGTAATCAGACACGCAAATAGTCTCTCTCTCTCTCTCTGTCTCTCTCTCCCCCTCTCTCTTTCTCTTCCTCTTCCTCTCTCTCTCTCTCTCTCTCTCTCTCTCTCTCTCTCTCTCTCCCTCCCTCTCCCCCTCTCTCTCCCCTCTCTTTCTCTCCCTCTCTCCCTCCCCGCCCTCTCTCTCTCTTTTTCTCTCTCTCTCTCTCTCTAAATACAATTCTTTAAAATTCGATTAATTATTTCCCGAAAATTCGTCAAACTTCTGATACCGCTTTCCAAAAAGATCGATAACAAAAAATTATATACTTGATAGCACTCCCCAGGAAATTCAACCCCTACTTTATGTACAATTCTTTGAGATTCGGTCATTCGAAACCGGTTTTTAAAAAGATCGGTAATAAAAAATAGTACACTTTATAGCACTCCCCGGGAAATTCTACCCCTACTTCATGTATAATTCTTTGACATTTAATCAATTATTTCCCGAAAAATTGAAAGAATTAAAAAAACCGATTTCCAAAAAGATCGATAGCAAAAACTGTACACATTATGGCGCTCGCCGTAAAATTCTACCCCTACTTTATATACAATTCTTTCAGATTCGGTCAATTAATTCCCGAAAGATTGAAAAAATTTCGATACCGGCTTCCAAAAGATCGGTAACGAAAAATTATACACTTCATAGCACTTCCCGGAAAATTCTACCCCTGTTTGATCTACAATTCTTTGAAATTCGGTGAATTATTTCCCGAAAAATTAGAAAAATTAGAAAAACCGGTTTCCAGAAAATTGGTAACAAAAAACTATACACATAATGGCACTCCTTTGAAAATTCTACCCCTATTTCATATACTTTTGGTAAAAATTATTTTAAAAAATTTTGATACCGGCTTCCAAAAGATCGGTAACGAAAAATTATACACTTCATAATACTCCTCGGAAAATTCTACCCCTGTTTGATCTATAATTTGTTGAGATTTGATCAATTATTTTTCAAAAAATAGGAAAAATTAAAAAAATCGGTTTCCAGAAAATCGGTAACAAAAAACTATACACATAGTGGCACTCCCCGGAAAATTCTATCCCTATTTCATATACTTTTGGTAAAAATTCGGTTCAGGGGTTTGGGCTGGGCGTTGATGAGTCAGTCAGTCAGTCAGTCAGTCAGTCAGAACAATCGTGAAAAAAACACATTTTACCCCTTTTCACCCTTAGGGGTGGAATTTCTAAAAATCCTTTCTTAGTGGATGCTTACGTCATGAGAGGAATACACCCTCCAAATTTCAAGTCTCTAGGTTCAGGGGTTTGGCCTGGGCGTTGATGAGTCAGTCAGTCAGTCAGTCAGTCAGTCAGTCAGTCAGTCAGTCAGTCAGGACATCTTCCTTTATATATATAGATAGGAAAAACATTATAAAGCAACAATTGTGATAAAAATACCTTGGCGGTGGATCAACCAATGATTCACTAAGATGGCTTAGCGTGGAAGCGAATTTCGGCAATCATTTGGGTTCTATCGCCGTGACACCTTCGCATATACATCTTATTCGTTTCGTACACCTCTTTATAAACCACCTATTCCGGACTGATTTTCCGTAGAACGCACGAAGAATGCATGAACACAGGTTCCTCCATTTCTGAAGGTGTTCTGAAAGATGGTTCAGAATAGAGAGGTCGCATTCAATAAGTCTTAATTATCGATGATAATTAATAACACACCATACCTAACCTCTAAAGCATATTTCCACTTGACCTTATCCTGATCCTCTTTTAGATCCGCCATACCTGCAAGAACTATCTGGCGCAGCAATTTCGCTTCCATGTCGGTTGGTAACGGCATTCTGTAACAATTCTTGTTGTAGACAATGTAAACAACCGTCTCAAACATATTGCAACATACATTGGGTGCATTCGGGGAGACGCTATTAACGCTATAAACGCAAACGCTATGAACTTCGTTCGAAGAGCCAATAGCGCGACAGCGATAGCAAGCTCCCCGAACGCAGCTTTAGCGCCAATAGTATTTCGTGCCTCACCTCGAAAATAATAGCGAAGGGTGCATTCGGGGAGCACGCTATTAGCACAATTATCGTCCAAAACTGTTCGAGGAGACGCTTTGTGGCGCTGTGATAGTCGATGATGACGTCACTGTAAAGGCAGTGTGACGTCATCACTCGCGCTATT